TTGACTCTTGCAAAAAACGAGCGCCAAAGCATAAATAGCTTAAAAGTAATGGTGAATTAAGCATAGGCTCTTGAAAACTGTGTTCGGCCACCTTAAAATCGTAAATAGATACTGGTTTTGTATCCGAGTAACATACCAAATTCCGTGGATTTATGCTTACCCTCGACATTCATCCGTCACGTAAACGGAGCTGATCGAAAACGCTCTTCAAACCGGAGGAATTTGATAACGTCGGCTTTTTGTTTTCGTGTGGACGGAAAACATTTTGAAAACGGAGCTTTTCAAAAACGATGACGTCACGATAATCCTGTGTTTCCTGATCGAGTTTCCCGGCCTAAAAAAAAAAAAATCCAAAATGACCGGTGATTGTTACGTTTGGCTCAGCGTGGATGGGGCAACATACAACCATCTCTTGGACCTCGAGATTGCAAAACTATTGAATGTTTCATGTTCTTATACATATGGCAAGAGTTCTTTAATAAATAAAAAGACCTTCTTTGTCGCCGGTTGCCATTTGTGTATCAATTTCTGTGCTGTATTTTGTTTCTACCTTTCAGGCCTTTGAGTAGGATTGATATCAGAGAAACTCTAGACCAGGAAGATTTCCATTATGAATAATGAATTACCACTCACATAATTATATAAAGAAGTGAAAAAAACGAGAAGCAATAAAACAAGTTTTAAAATGCAATTGTTGTGAGCCATTTTTTTAAAATGATTGTTTGACTGTGTATTTCCTTGCATTTGGTGAGCTGCAGAGATTGATCTGTGCTTAGATATTGTTCAAATAAGACGTATTACGTTTGATTTGTTTGATACATTCTTAACCTTGGACTTTCCGGTTGATTTAAGACGGACCGTGTCGTAAACTCACTTTGAATGAATGATTACCATTGTCCTTCAATAATTGCATAAACGCTTTCAAAACGAAACATTAATTAAAAAATAACCGCCGGACAGAACAATTTTCTGCTTGCGAGCATTAACTAATAAAGGAAACGGGGAATAGAAAAGAGTATATCAATGGCCTTTTCGGCGATACGGCCGGCAGCATTTTGAATTCTATTTTTTTCAAATAGCTATTATGAGATGCTTAGAAGGCAAATACATGCATATTAATTTGCGCTCTGAGTATCCCATAATAGCTATTTGAGGCAATAGAATTTATAATAGCCGCCGTATCGCCGATTGTCAGGTTTCAGTTATTATGAAGAGTCTTGTTCCAGTTGTAGCCGTTCTTGTTGTTGTCCTTACAATTGTTGTTCAAGAAGTGCAGCTTGTTCAGTCTAATTGGGGCAGAAGATTCGGCCGCTCGCTTCGGTTCGCTCGATTCTGCCGGTCGAGTTTGAGTTCTATTTTTTTTCAAATAGCTATTATGAGATGCTTAGAGGGCAAATACATACTAATTTGCCCCCCCCTCCCGAGTATCCCATAGTGGCTATTTGAAACAATAGAATTTAAAATAGCCGCTGTATCGCCGAAAAGGTCCATTACTAGCTATACTCTTGGCCCATTAATTGAAAGCTTTGATGCCAGATTCTCCCTTTCACGAGTCATTTCCAATTATGACTTTTTTCAAATCTTTTTACAAACAGCGACGTATTGATATTGTTAAGAAAGATGCTGATTGGTTGAACGTTGTCATGTATCGCTGATCGTGAAAGCATGGGCTGTACCACCGCGAGGTCACTCAACATCAATGGGCGGAAGAACTGAATGTTTTCACGAGTTACCGCCTCACGGAATGTCCATGATTTTACGAAGTTAATCATACATTTCAGAAAATTTCCATTGTGCACTGCATTGGAATCATTGGCGGGATATGCCACAAAGTATCGACGCTGCCTGGTCGTTGACAAGTTGACTTTAAACCGCAAATAATCTCCAATGTAAAACGCATTTCTATAAAGGGAATGATTGAGGCAGGTGTAGGGACTCGAATACGGCTCAGACTTGAATATGAAGACCTCTGGCTCTTCAGAAGCGTATCAGTATTTCAGGCGGCCGTTCATGCCTAGTTGTTTTGGGACAAGATTATGATTTTATAAGTAACACTCTATTTTCACTAATAGAAAATTTTATTTGCCACCATTTTGATGCTCCCAAACAATAGAATAGTAAACACGAGAAAAGGAAATAATTGCCCTAAAAGGAAAAAAAGTTCGCTGTTTAGAAATGGCCAATGTGACGCCAGGAGACAACGCTGTGTAAGCGAGCTTTTCCTTTGCCAATCTTGAGTAACAAACTTGGAGTAATTCCTGCTCTTACTTCAAAAATGTATTTATATTGTAAGTTTTATGATACTATGGGGCGCCCATGTTAGGAGAGGTAATTGGAAATTCAGGATTAATGGAATTGGTTTTACAAATAACTTTGACGATAAGCCTTGACGCGCACTACTGTATCAATGCCATTTCTGCTATTCATACCACAGTAGATCTTGCCGTTCCGAAGCAGTTTTCTGTGACCTTACCAGCGTGTGGAATGATTCTTACAAATCCCATGCGGTAGGCGCAACTACCCGTAGTCTGTGGTTCTGCAGGGGGCGTATTTTGGGAGGGGCGCTTAATGAAGGAAACACGGTACTTGTAAATTCAGAATTAATGAAATTGATCTTACAAATACTCTTGACGATAAACCCTACGTGCACTTCTGCAACAAATGCCAGTTCAGTTATTCATATCATAACAGATCTTGTCATTTCGTAGCAGTTTTCTGTGACTTTACGAGCGAGTGATATGATTCTTACAAAACCCCATGCGGTAGGTGCAGCTACCCGTCGTCTGTGACAGCATGAATGTAGCCACCAGAAGTTAAACATGAACCTGCAGATTCTTCTTGATACGTGATTCTTTGCTTGTAGCATTAGTTATACCTTCTATTTAATCCACTGGAGGGGGTTAAACAACGTCTCAACGCTGAAAGTTCTGAACAAACCGTCATTATTAAAGGACAGGAAAAAATGCTGGCTTGTTGCGTACGCCATAAATAGACAATCTGAGAAAAATGGAAGAATTGGATCAGCAACTTTACAAATAGAGGAAAACTCACACAGATTCACAATCCATGTGAAAAAAAATGTATATCATATCTCACGGTTCAAATCTTCGCTTTTAAGAACAAAAGAAAATTAACATTAAACGTGAGAATTTCCTTTGAAGCTCAATGACTTCATTATTTCGTTGCACCAGAGTACCTTGGCGCATGCGCGAGTTTACTTTAAGTCAATAACGGAATGGGTTAAGAATGTTGTTGATTAGATAGTCCGCTCTCATTGTATCAACATTCGATTTTGTGTAAATAAGTCACTACAGTTAAAACAATTTTCGAAATCCGTTCGAATTGGGAACATCGTAACGCCGTAAGTACTTTAAATTTCTTTTTTACTCTTTTAACTAAGGAATGTTTAGAAAGCTCTCGTTTCCTCGGCCGTTTTTTCACGGTTCTTGAGAAAGGAGCAGGTTGCGTTAAAAAAAAAAGCTGATCAGAGAGTATTACTTTCCGGTCGTGATTTTGATGTTCACTGAACACGAAGCAGCCGTATTATGGTCTTTCAGCAAGTTTGATTGCAAAACTCAAAACAACAATAAGATAAGTTTGTGATGTTAAGACGAATAAGAATGAACAAAACAGTCCATTTAACCAATGCCATTTTGTTTTAACGAGTTCTAGTCTCAACAAGTGCGATCATCATGACACGGTGATTTGCTTTCGTTAACGTTGTTACATTTACTCCAACTTTTTCATTTTGTTTTGCCTTGCAAGAGGTTGTTATGATAAACCAATTATCACTGGCCTAATTGAACATAGATAAAGCTTTTTCAATATTGCTGTTTTGTATTTTTACCTTAGCTTTTCGTTTAACAGACTGTTAATCACTTGAAATCATAACAATTCATCATTGGTAAATGGACATTTGACCAACTGAAATTTTGACGCAATCAGTAGAAAGCTCGCCTTTGTCACATTCCATTTTTTCTTCCTCGATAAAATTTAATGAGCGCGCGTAAAATGCATTTTATCTTAGTCTAGCAAAGTAAAAACCAAATTTATTCACTCGCAAATTAGAGATCAGAATATTGGTGCCTTCCTCTTACCATCAGGCACAGACTGTTCAGCTAATTTTAGTATCGTTAGATAATTATTTTATATTGCTGTGCAGTCAGAGTATTTCGTTTTTATTGGTTGATCCAGGATTTCTTCGGCAGAGACGTGGAAGTTATAAAGTGATTTAAGACTTTTCTTCTTTTTCATCCTTCCATCGGAGCGAAGGAAAGCCAAATTCGAGTCAACAAACTGTGGTGTTTCATCTCAATCGATCAGTAACGGTGTACCAGTCAGATTTATTTTAGTAACGGCTTCCTAGATATAGATATCAACCTACGCTTTTCAATATTTAGCCTCGCTGAGATGTTTTTACGAAAAATCCCTCCAGCTTCTTTGGTAGAAGTAACCCGTCCGAAACAGACTTTGTGAAGGCAATTTAGTTGCCATAGATTTAACGCTAATCAAAGCGCTACGAATCAAGTATAACAAGTGTAAACAACGACGTTCACTTATCAGGTACCAGTTAAACTCTCCACCGATTTCTGACCTTTTCTGGTTTGTGTAAAACACCGTGCTTGTGGATTAATTGTTCGCCATTTTGTGCCAAGAAGGTGTCGCTAAGTGGTATGACCTCAACACGATCAAACTATAGGTCATTTTTGACCTCCCTCTTGAGAGAGAATTTACTCTTTAGGCCAACTTAACCTCGACGCTGTTCCGTTCTTTTCTGTAGCAATCTTCAAGCAATGAGGGGCGATAAAGTCTTCCTGTGCTGTGCACTGTTTCTGTCCACTTACATCGCGTTTACGCTCAGTCTAGTCACAAGTAAGTAAACTTCATGTTGCGGCAGTTAAAACTGATTTCTTGGAAATATAATTTACTGTCAGATACTTGTAACCCTCTCAACTGTGTCTTCGTTTCAATCGTCATGTTTACGAAGTATACGAATTAGGGTAGAATTGATTGATAGACAGTTGTTGATCATTTGACTGTAACACCGTCCAAATCTTAATCGATTGTCCGCAAGAAAGATCTTTAGTCCTAAGACAAACCCATGTCGACAGTCGCGATTTGGAATAATTTTTATTTCAATAGTCCACCCTAAGACATTTTTCATCAATACAACGGGCGCTTATCAAGGACGCAATATTTGTACGGTGTTAACGAATCATTGAGTAGCAGCATTTGTTGATTTTACCAGCCTTCCATTCACAAACACGCACATGTATTTGTAGCAAGCTAAGCGAGAACTTAAAACGCCAGCTTTAAACTAACTTTTTGTAATCATAGCTCCCGCGCCGTCAACGAAGCCCGTAACTCCAACAAAACCGGGAAGTCCAACAACACCAGGATCAGGAACGCCCTCAAAACCACCGCCTATTCCAACGGATCCTAACACTTTGCACTGTAAGTTATCACTGTCATATAAAGCCTGTGGTTATTGTTATCGTATATTTCTATTGTTGAAAGCGAGGGCGCTCATTAGTGCATTGCACGTCCTTAGTATCCAGGCTCTAGCAGCCTAGGTAGCTTTGTTAATTTTTTTTCACTATGCCTTGTAAATAACTTACATATACAACATTCTGGAAAGGGCCTCGCATGGGTAATCGCCTCGCGTTCACGCTTTCCCTTTTGGGATTTTTTTCCTTTCCTTTTCTTTTTTCCCACTATTTCAGACACATATTGTACAAGATATTCATTATATTCGTAATCAAACTTATTAAAAAAATATCACGTACGAAACTTTTAAAAAAGCAACATGGAAAAGTTTTCTGCACAATAAGTTTCAGCATGTTGAACTCATCGATCTATATTCTCACCATAGCTGATCATCCGTGTTGTTGAAAGGAAAGAACTAGTGAACTTTAGGATAGGCAATCACAAACTAAGGATTGAGACTGGCAGATATGATCAAATTCTAAGGGTTAAGAGACTCTGCCCTATTTAAGTTTCTAATCAGATTGAAGACGAATCTCACTTTCTTATACACTGCAATAAATACTCTATTCTAAAAAATAAATTTTATAAAAAATAGAACTTATCATTCCTACTTTTAAACAATTATCTTCGTTACTATCCATCAGCAAACTTACAACTTCTTCAAATCATTATATTAATATTCAATTAGCAAAATTTATTTCATCTTGCTTTGATCTACGCAATATTCTACTTTCAAATCAAACCAATATAACTTGATTGCTATATCATAACATTGTTATATGATCACGATAATCGTTACTGTTTTAGTTTTAGTTTGCGAAGGCTTTTGCAACACTGTATGTATTTATGGTCATGCAAATAAAGCTAGCTGTTGTTGTTGTTGTTCAGTGCCGAAAAGGCTGCTGGGGCATGGCTCTATATAAAGATGATCTCTTATGACTAGAATAGACAAAGTAATATCTTAAGAGCTACCTGTATAATATTCTTTCTTTTAATTTTGATATTTAGATTCATATGTTTGCGTTTGTTTTTTGCTAGGCACCGTGTACAACTTGACCTTGAAGCTGACGAACACTACCTATGACGATAATCTAGCTACTGCGCACACTGGTCAATTCAACAAACTTAGAATGGACTTTGAAGTCGGAGTAAGTGTATTTAACCTTCATTAGTGGAGGCAGCATGGCCAGTGGAAGCAGCGAAGCCGAGTGGTTTAGGTCGCTGGTGTTGTAATCCGGGGGTCCCGGGTTCAAGGTCTCCACCCTGCCACTAGCGGGATTTGTTTCTCGGTAGTCCCGAATTCAAATCCTCGGTCAGGCTTTGTAAAGAGCCAACTGGTGTGCCTCCTGCCGGTTGAGATTTTTAACTTTGTTACGTTTATTTGAAATATTTGTTTCCTTTGTTTCAGTGGCATGCCTGTAAACTAGCTAAGCTTAGTGCTTGTATAGCAAAGTGCATGATCACTATAAAGAAGGCAAAAGATCGACGATTGCCGCTAACTTTTAGAAGCGAAGTTTAGGCAGCGGAAATAAACATCCAGCCCGTGGGCCGTATCGTAAAAAGCTGGACCGGTCACGTGCGTATGATTAGCCAATCAAATTCGAGGATTTAGGATTCCGGTCCACTTAGATGCTTGAGAAAATAAATAATATTCTTTAATTCTTTAGGTTTTGCAAGTGTACGATGGATACAAGCTCTTCGTCGGCGTCACCACTCTGAGATTCAGGTAGTTATTTTACGAATACTAATTACATATTGTAAATTTTTTAAAGAGACTTTGATCCAATTTACATGGGTATTTATCTTTACATGAAGCCACTGATTTATTGACGATTGATCATATTTCTAAACCAGTTTTGCTTTCTTTTAAAACAGCAAAGCCTCTGACGGTAAGACCATCGTGCACTTCTGTGTCGAGTTCAAAGAGAATGGAACTCATCTTGCAAACTTGACCAAGGCAATAGCCACTGGCAAGCTGGGCAAGCTTACTCCCGTTTCTGTTGCGCCCAAGCTGGGACAGGCAGGTGAGTTATCAAACAGTTCATATGCGGTCTTGACAGCTATGGACGCTGGAAGACCATGAAATTTTTAAGACGGAATCCACAAGAAGTTCGAGTAACGAGTGGACAAAAACCTAGTACCAAGATTATTTACATCGTATTGCAAACTTCCATACGACTGTTTTAAATATCTTCTCAAAAAATCATTTCTAGCAACAACAAACGTCGAAAACGAATGTTGAACTTAATATGAAACACTTGAAAGTACTGGTGAAATGAAACTGACGATGAAATTTTGCCTGTGTTTGCACAAGTTCTCTGAACTCTGAAATTCATTTTCTCTCGTTCCCATGGGAAATTGTTTTCGGTGTTATTTCAGGCAATTATTTATGTATTTACCTTTAGGAAAATGTAAAATTAAACTATAAAATACAAAATCATTCTGGTACCAGATTTTTGTCCACTAAAACCTGAAATTGCTCGATTTTCTATCGGATTTCGTCTTAAAATGAAACTCGTGTGATGTCTTAAAATGTGCATATTTGACAGTGCTTGACGTCTCGTGAAGGTGAAGACGTTTTCACACGACACTGCGATGTCTGTTACATAAAGTATATTTTGGTCTCAACGTCCACTTCTTGAAATATGGTATTATTACAAGAGTCCTCTACCGGTTTTGGTTTTGTTTCAAAACTTTCTTCATTTCTTGTAAAAACAATTACAGCGTAAAATGACACACAGACTCTATTACGTGAAAATTAAATCAAAAGGTCTTGAAATCTGATATTTGTTGCTGGTTACAACATCATGTATGATAAAGTAATTACCGACTGTGCATTGTTTCTACTTCATAAAGTAAACTCTTTTCAAACTATACTAAGTTATCTAACAGCTGGTACACTGTCACGATAACCTATGCCAGTCTTGACGCACAGTCAATAAACGCCATATTCTTCTTTCATTTATCAGCATGCTTCAAGGCACCAGCTCCACCAGTCTGCCCAGTACCCTGCCCATCAGCTTGCGCTCCATCCTGTTATGACACCTGCTGCCAACAGGGGTACCAACAGCAACAGGTCTATTACCCTCCCCCACCTGCTCCTTACCCGGCCACGTGCCCCAATAGCTGCCCCAGTACTTGTGCACCTACCGGCTGCACTCCGGCTTGTTGCAACACCGTGTACAATCAGTCGCCTTACCCCTACGGGAAACGCCATCACGCCCCTAAACCAGAGAAGGGAACGAAGAAACACCATATCTTCCGTAAACACCACAGAAAGAACTAAAAATTTCAGGAATGGAAAAGAATCAGGGAACAGGGAGAACGGAACGTTTTAGTTTGTTGTTCAGTTTTATCTGCATACGGGAGCACTTCACGCGTCCGAAACAGTAACTATATCGCGACAACTGCCTTACAAGGAACGACTTACCTAATCACCGGGAGCAGACAATTAGTGCAAGATCTCTGTATCGGTTTAAACATGATGAATTCCCGTCAATACTCTACAAACAGATATTTCCAGTGAAATCAATAAAACAATGAATATTTAGATGCTTATCAAAGCATCTTGTAGTGATTTTAAAGATGATTCAAATGAAATATAGTACAGTGACAATAGGACATTTGTTTACAAAAACACAGAACACTACATGAATACAATCCTATGAATTAATCTAACCACAGAAAAGCCTGGCTGGATGGCACTGGATAGCTTTTCTGTGATAAAAACCGACTGTTTACGCAAGGTTCTGCTATGACGGGTTAATTATTTAACGTTTAATTTTGTGATATTTGTTATGTGGTTAAGGCTGCAAATACTGTAGTTTTCGTTTATTTTAAGCATTGTAAATAAGACATGTGCAGTGAGGTCATGACTGAGAATAAACACTGTTCTAAAATTTCATGCTTGTTGGAGTTATTTTTATTCAAATCAGGTAAGGTGCCGCGATTATAATTAATGTAGCCCCACGTCGTTCGTTAAAATAGCTCATCACGTGGTCACGGTTTGGTTTTTACCTACGCAAAAAGATTCAGCAACTTTAAACCACGGTCACAGCCCCATCTCCCAGTGTCCCTCTTTATTGAGTGCGGTACGCGTGGAGTAATGGGCCTGTTACCCTGGGAACTCCGTGTCTCGCCACCTAACCATCAAGCACCATGCTCCCTGATAACCGAAGAAATGTAACGGCGCCTGGGGACAAATCAGGCGCTGTCATGCGTCTGTATTTTAATAGAGACATCGTGGTCGAGTGGTTAAGGTCAATCGATTTGAAAGCTTAAGGTATTTGGTTCAAATCCTTATCCATGCCACAAGGGGTACGTCTACCAATTTTTAACTTTAAATTCTAATTTAAAAACAACACCAAATCTCCAAAATTTCCTTTCTCCATAAATTTTACTAATCCTTTGAGAAAAACTATGTGTCTCCAAATATACCTAAAAAATCACCAAAAAATTTACAAAACAGCCCAAAACATAGATATGAGGGATGAGCAGAGAGATTCTTAACTGCTTGAAACGTAAACGAGATATTTGCATTAAAACCATAATACCCAGCCAAAATATGGCCTTCAGGTAGACCCCCGCCTTAAGTTTATGTTCCGATTACAATATAAGCAATTTAAACACTCTTTATTATTGTTAATTAAAAATGTAACACTTTGGTTACTTGGTATCGCAACAGTTCTTGGCTTAATTACACTGTCCACAATTAGCACAGCAATACTCGCTCGCGCTCGATCCGCTTAGTATTACTATTATTATTATCATTATCATTATCATTATCATTATCATTATCATTATTATTATTATTATTATTATTAAGTGTGATATTCTTAGCTTAGTTTTGCCATTTTATTCCCTCTTTCTTGAACTTTAATATGGATTCTGACCAGCTCTGGGGTAAGTACTCATGAAGAAGTAATAGTGAAAGGAAATTGCCAAGGCCTCTTTTGACTTCCAAATTTTTGATCTGAAGACATTTTTTGGAGTGGGGCCGGGGTTTGGGGGGGGGGGGGGGGGGGG